TCCCCTTTTCCGTTAAAAGTTAACACCGTTAACCATTAAGGGGATTTCATGAAAGTTTTTTATAACATATGGGGAATTGGTGCATGGTTTTACCACACAAGGAAGGTCTACGCAAAATTAATTTATTCATTTAAAATTTAAATTATTTTCTTAAATTAAGTCGAATACCTCTCTTAATTTAAAATATGAAATCCAAAAAAATTAATATTCGAGATGGAAAATGGAACGAATTCTCAAATTATTTATGTTCTTTTCACAAATAATTAATCTAGAATAAATTATAAAAGTAGATGATAATTTTAATAAAATTATTATGTTTTTTAAAAAATCAAAATTCTTAAATACATTTATAAGTTATATCATAAAAATTGATTTTTTATTTAAAATACTCACCACACCTATTAAATTTATATTTTTCATATTGTAACTGAATAAATATGTTCGACTTAATTTAAGAAAATAATGTGAAAATTTTAAATGAATAAATTAATTTTGCATGAAATCCCCTTGTATTGTATAAAATATGCACTATATCCCCCTATGTTATGCAAAAATTGCATAAAATCTCCTCTATAGTTAACGGTGTTAACTTTTTGAACGGAAAAGGGGATTTCGTGCAAAGTAAAATGAAACACAAGGGGTTTTACGCAGGAAAAAAAAAACACATGGGAGTTTTATGCTGTTTACCCGTTATTGAGATACCAAACATCAAACAAAGTCCAATTATTTAGTTAATCATGGCTAATCTCACCAAACCAAACGAGACATGATCAATGTATTCTTTTTATCCGATCCGACTATAACCCATTCTTGTAATTAGTTGCAACAATTAAATTCATTTGACTAAAGAATTGTACTACAGAAATCATGCTTACTAGACCCCCCCCACCACCATGCACCCCCACCCCCACCCCCACCCAGGGTTTTCTCCCTATAAAACCAGTAGCCCTTCAACAGCCAAAATCATTCCAAACTTGTAGTGTTTTAGAAAGATGATGATGTTGAAACAGTGTTTGTGTAGTGTTATTTTAGTGTGTGTGCTGTGTTTTTCGAGTTTCGCATGCGATGTTAAGGGCGAAGAGAGAGTTATTGAGGGCACTGTTCGTATCGATGGGAGTCGTCCGATAGCGGAGACCGATGAGAACTTCGTATGTGCAACAATAGACTTATGGCCAGCTGAAAAGTGTGATTATGGAACTTGTGCCTGGGGAAACTCTTCTCTTCTCAATTTGGTATTATATTTTTAGGTTTTCATTTTTTGACCTAATTTATTAAATAATTGCCTATTATTAATTATATACAGATCTATTTGCATGTGATTGTTATTCTTGATTGATTTTGTTTCATGTTTTGTTGGAGCAGGATCTGAAAAATGTTGTCCTCTTCAATGCAGTAAAAGGTACATACGTAGAAATATTAATTTGATTAATTAGCTTATTTCATTAATTAATTGATTAATTTAATTTTTATGAATTTAATATATGATGCAGCGTTTCACCACTTCGGATAAGATTAGGAGGAACTTTGCAAGACAGATTGATATATCAAACAGACCGTACAGAAGCATGCACTCCATTTGTGTACAACACTTCTGAGCTGTACAATTACACTTTGGGTTGTCTTTCCTTGGACAGATGGGATGAATTAAACTCCTTCTTCACTCGTTCCCGGTAATAAAATATTAGTAATTACCATGTCTAATTAAATAAATTAAATGATACATGTACTATAAAAAAAAGAAAAAGAAAAATAGGAGTATTGCACAATAAAATAAAATATAATAAAATTTGATAAATAAAATAATTAAATTGCCAAAAGTATCGTTGTGTAATCACTAAATAACAAAAATCCCCACTTATGATAAATAAACCACCAAAATCCTCCTGTGAAATTTAGTGAGACATAAATTCCCCTGGTGCATTTTAATTTATGTGGCTCACTCGCTTAATTAGCGGCTGGTAACTGATTATTAGACGTGAAATGATAAAATTATACCAAAAATGTATTAATATGTAATTTGATTAATTTCTCATAAACCCTTGCACAAACTCTAATTGGCTCCTTGTGAACAAATTACAATTCATATAGTATACTTGTTAGTTGTTACTGTTCTTGAATGAGTTCATTATTTTTTTCAGGGCAATATTTACTTTCGGACTAAATGCGCTAAATGGTCCGGCAAATGCTACACTTGTTGCCAAGGGCAATTGGGATTATTCGAATGCTGAATCGTTTCTTCGTTACACTGTCGAGAAGGGTTACAATGTGTATGCTTGGGCCCTTGGTAAGAAATATCATCACACTCTACTGATATTGCATGAAAAAGTTATAATTTTGATATTGTAGAATTTTTTCTTATTAAGTGTCGCTTTTGATTTTCTAAATAGGCCAAACATTTTGTCTGATTTTCTAATAGGTCAAATATTTTTCGTTAAAATCAAGACTATGTAACAATAATATTTTTCATAAGCGTGCAAATTTAGATCGGATGGTCTGTTTTAATAGGAAAATCGGATATCATAGGATGATTGACACGTGGATAGTTTAAATAAAAATATAATTACAATTCTAATAATTGGAAAAAAAAAAAAAAAAAAAAGGAAAAAGAAAACCTCAACAGAACCATAACCCCTCTACCTTTGATTATAATTAGCGTGATTTATTAAGAGTTAAAACTTAAAAGTGTCACGTGTCAAAAAATTAGTGGAATCCGATTTATATTAAATATCGGCTGATCCGCTCAGAATTTAATCTCTTTTCATAATTAATTAGAGAGCATCACAAACGATGCTAATAAAGGGAGGGAGTACGTACAAGAAAAAAGAGGTTTTTGTTTAATCCTGCAAGTGTAGGTAATGGTTATTGTGTGATGCAAAACCATCAAGTATATGTTCTTTACTTTACCCTTTTTATTATATTATTTTTTTTAATTTTTTTTATATAGCAAAGAATATGTCGCATATTTCCTTGAATTAATATAAAAGAATTATGGGATCAAAATTATAAATTTTATTGGCAGGGAATGAATTAGGTGGAATCGCAATATATCTATTCGTGGATGCGGAGCAGTATGCCCAAGACACGGTTTCTCTACGTCGATTAATAGCAAAAAATTATCGACCAATGATAAGGGCCCCACGGATAATGGCTCCTGAAAATCTCTTCGAACGTGATTGGTTTCAACAATACCTAGAACAATCACAAGGCTCACTAAGTATAAGTAGCCAACATATCTATAATCTTGGCGCAGGTATATATATATATATATATATATATATATATATATATATATATATATATATATATTTAAACCTCTATAATTAATGATTTATGATGATTTTATATAAATATAGGATCTGATCCGGACCTTATAAATAAAATACTTGATACAACGGTGCTGAATAGTGGAGCCGTTCCGCTATGGAACCTCAAGAACCTTCTGGAAGAAACGGGTACATCGGCAGTTGGTTGGGTTACCGAGTCTGGAGGAGCTTATAATAGTGGTCGTGATGGAGTAACAAACACCTTTGTCTTTAGTTTTTGGTACGTTACATAAACTTACATAACATATGCATGCATAATAAATATATGTTGTCTGTATGTGTGTGTATGTATATATATATGTGAATTAATGGATGAGTTAATTATATATGTATAGGTATTTGGACATACTGGGTATGGCAGCAGCTTATGATACAAAGTTGTTTTGTCGACAGACATTAGTCGGAGGCTACTATAGTTTACTTGACACCACCACCTTTGTTCCAAATCCCGATTACTACGGGTATATATCGAAAAAAGCGAATATCCTATTATTATTTATGTCGACCGTCACACACACGCAAACACATATATGTATATATATAGAAAACTTCTTTGATAGTAATTTATTCATTAATGATGAGCTAATTATTTTGTAGCGCGCTTCTTTGGCACCGTTTAATGGGAAAACATGTTTTGCTGACGAGATTTGAAGGAAGTAGTAAGATCCGTGCATATGCTCATTGTGCAAAGAATTCTGTAAGTTCTTAACATATAGGAACCTCATTTTTTTTTATTATGTGACATTACCTCATTACAAAATTATAATATTATCTTGACATTTTATTTATTTATTTATTTATACACATATATCACATACAATGACACTTCATATTAATGAGATTTGATTTGAACATATATGACATGATGTTGCAGCCTGGAGTTGTTGTATTGCTCATAAACCTAGACGGCAACACAACTGCCGAGGCAAAGCTTTCATTGTTCGAAAATGATGACGGTGAACGGCTATTTGATTTTAGACAAGAGTACCACCTCACCCCTTTGGAAGGAAACATACAAAGCAAGACCGTTTTACTCAACGGTAAGCCATTGATCGTCGATTCGTCTGGCGCTATACCTATCATGGAACCCGTTGAGGTTATTGGCTCGAGGCCGATAACTGTGAATCCGCATTCCATTGTGTTTGTTCACATTTCAAATTTCGCCTTCAAAGCGTGCCGATCCTTTGGTGTCGAAGTACTTTGATATCCGTGTTTGTTCGTTTGTTTTATTGTTTTATTATGTACCGTGATGTAATGTGTGGTCGAATAAGATGCAAAGGCCTTTGTTGCTATATGTTTGCATCATAGTTGAACTATTAATAAATATATCAACTCTGTAACATATATATATGTTGGGTGTTTTTCGTATTTTGTTTCTACCAAAATTTCGATAAATCGATGATTCACACCCATCGTTTCAATGATGTTGATGAATAATGAATGAAAATGAACAACATTGTTATGTATTAAATTGTATTTGTAAAAGGCCAGTTCATCTAGAAAACATGTATCCAAATTTTTGGGTTGATTACAAACATCCAAGGTAGGGGTGTAAATGAGACGAGCCAGCTCGCGAGTTTAAGGAGCCTGTTCGAAAAATGCTTGTACTCGAGCTCAGGAGCCCGAGCTCTTGGACGAGTCGAGCTCGAGCTTACTTTCAATTGTTCGACAGCCTATTTTTCTATATTTTGTTTTAATTTTATATATATTAATAATATATAATAATGGATATTATTAATAATAAATAAAAAATAATAAAATTAGTTTTTTAATTGAAAAAAAAAATTAATAAGACAAATATGTAAGTTATTTAATACATAAAACACATAAGCTGTCATAATTAGGATTGGGTTACATACCTCCAGCCATAGCCAACGTTTGAATAAGAACTCAAGAACTTTGTTGTGGGTACTTCTAATCTAAAATAATTTGCAAGTGATGGAAATGGGTTTGCATAAATTACATAGATTAGGGACCCTAACTAAATGGTTAATTTATAGTATTCCTTCCATCAAGAAACAACTCTACGATAGAGTCACAACTCTTTAATTACCACAATAAAATAGCCAATCGAATTATAAATAATTTATCCATTAAATAACTTAATATAATAGATAATTTTATATACGTAATATATATAGACCATAATATTCTTACATTCTCCCACTTGGTCTATTTATTAACTTTTAATGGTTTAGAATGAACATACTGAGCACATAATGATTTTTCTAAACCTTTAGTTCATTGGCTACAAATATTCAAGCATAAATAAGAAAAAGAAAAATCATGAAGGTTATTTATTATTTTAACGTGTTTCCTGCCATGCATTACAATTCGATTTTCTTATCACATTCATTGGGGTATTTTCTATGCATGAATAAGCCTGAATGCTTATAGTGGGTCCATTAACAAGTATTATATGTCATTCTCTCACATATATGTATACCAATAAAATAGAATACGGATAAAAATAAGAATTTTATTGTCAATACACTATGGGCTCTTTTGGTTGGTGGGATAAGGGGTGATTGACAAATTAGTCACCCCTAATCCGGCGTTTGGTTCGACTGATAGAAACCCGGTATTGACACAAAGCCCGTTATACAATCACCCAAATGGGTGATAACTTATCGCACCTCAATAGGTGTGACAAAATTATCCAGTGAGGATAAATTCGTGAAAATACAAAAAAGCCCCCCATTCATAACATTATTACCACCTAACTGGGTATAAAAGTAGAAAAACCCCTCTTCTTCAATCTTCATACCAACAGAAACGCGATTAGCCCTAGCAACGGGACATGTTCTTCATGTTCTGAATATACGAGCTCCTACAATCAAAGCACATCCAATTTTGGGGGTAGAAGTCGCGACTGACCACTCAATCAATCGTACTTATTTTCGAGCTTTACAGCCCTAGCCTCTCAAGGTTTTCTTCTTCTTCTTTGCTTTTGATTCATCTCTGAAGAATCAAGTATGGTTTTTTTTTTTTTTTTTTTAATTTTTAGATGGCTTAAACTTGAGGTTGTCTTTTTATTTGGTGGTGTTTGATTTATTTTATTGTCTATTTTAAAGTTTGATTGCTGATTCGGGTTTGATCCAATTTCTGATTTTTTTTAATCTCGATTTTTTTATTTAGTTAATCAATGTGAATCATCTCTGTTGTTAGTGGTTGGTGATGTTGTGTTCAATTTTGATTGTGATGTGATCATTGTTTTCCATTAGTTTCTTTGTGATTTTTTGATAATCTAAAAATTGGCCATGTAGGAAGATAAATTTAACTCAGAAAATAAATAAATTATAATTCATAATTAATATTGTGGCAGGGCGAAGATTTGCTTGTAACTTGTAGTGTTGATATATAAACCATGTAGGGATTTCATACAATTATGTAATTCTTAAAGAAGTGCATATCAAAATCTGAATACATAGCCGAATTAAATTAACACAACATGTAATAACAAAAACATTAAGAGTGTGCATGCTGGTTTTTAATTTTTATTGTTTATAAAAACCTAGTTTAGTAGTTATTGCATTATCCAAAATCTAACGAATATAAGTAATTTTTAAATAATGCGGGCACCACAGTTTTCAGTGTGTATGGATCCTAGGACTTGTGTTTTGGGTTCAATGAGAATATGCTCTTTGTAGCATATTTTTCTGGAATTTGCATTATCATCAAGACTGTTGTTCATATTGTTTGTTCTATTGGCAGATAGTGTAATGCAATATCAGAAATCCTTAATCACTTGGTCAGCAGCCAATTACAAATTACAGTAATTATAGATTTTTATTTTTTTCCCAAAGTGATTACATGAGCCTAGAACTATGAAGCCTAAAAATCTGTAATGTAATTGGGAATTATGGTTATTATAGATTACAGTAATTCCAGATTACAGATTACAGTTCTAGGCTTCATAGTTCATAGTTAATCATATTTCAAATCCACAAAAAAAAAATTACAGAAATAATTAGATTTACAGTTATAGGCTTTGGACAGGTTAAAAAGCGATTGTCTGGATTTAAGGTGATCCAAGATGATTGTACATGTCTTCATCCCGCAATAACAAAAGGTGTCTCGGCTTCCAGTTTCAAAGGCGAAAGAATTGCCTCGGCCGAAGCCATGACCCCAATTTCTCGATTTGTTAGAGACACCACTGCTCATTGTTCTGTAGTTATTGCTCTTATGATATTCACCTGGATTTTGGGCAATTTTAATTTGTAGTTGTTGCAGAAAAGGAATCACACAATGTTGTTATATGTTTTATTTTGATTACGACATGTAAATGAAACTATATGTAAAACGGGAGTATCGCCTAGCTAACTAAATGCAGCTTTGGAACTCTATTTAAGTTCGTTTTCGATTTAATATTGTGTGATATTGTGCTCGTGTTATTAAGAATTACTTTGAATTTTTGCACGGATTTTTTTCGTATTCCCACGACCATGAAATGTACATCTATTGAGGTGCAGCATAAGTCGAGAATGCTTTTGCTTAAACGCTTCTACGAGTCAATGAAATTAATTTGACCAAGGGTTGTTTTGTAAATTCAAGAATAATCAATCATAATCATTATAACTGAACATCAGTTTAAGTTATCCCCTATTAATAATCCCTCATACCAAATAAGATTTTTTTCTACTAAATAGTGCAATAATCAATAATCAATCATGTGTTTGTAATATCATCCTACCAACCAAAAGAGCCCTATGTATTACAATAATCAATCATCTAATAAGTGACTTGATGGGGCATAGCCCCATATTGGTTATATGATCTTTGAACAAACTTGGTGACATGACTTTTGTCAAAGGATCAACAATCATCTCTCCAGTGCGTGTATGTTCAACATGTATTTCCTTAGACTTAATACGCTCTTTTATAGCTAAAAACTTGATGTCTATATGTTTACTCCGGCTGTTACTCTTATTATTTTTAGCCAAGAACACAGCAGCTGAGTTGTCACAGTAGATTCTCCAAGGCTTGGAGATAGACTCAATAACTTGAAGTCCAAACATAAAATTCTTTAACCAGATAACCTGCGATGTTGCCTCAACAAATGAAACAAATTCGGCTTCCATTGTAGAAGTTGCAATTAGTGATTGTTTTGCACTTCTCCAAGATACAGCTCCTGCAGCGAGTATGAAAATTTATCCCGATGTTGACTTGCGAGAATCAATACAGCCAGCTAAGTTTGAATCCGAATACCAACAATCTCTAAATTGTCGGTCTTTTTATAAGTAAGCATAAAATCCTTGGTCCCTTGCAAATATCTCATGACCTTTTCCACAGCTTTCCAATGGTCTAGCCCCGGATTACTCTTATATCTTCCTAACGTTCCAACTATGAATGTGATGTCAGGTCTTGTAGAAACTTGAGCATACATTAGGCTTCCAACGGCAGAAGCATAAGAAATGTTTTCCATTTGTTCCCTTTCAAGGTCATTTTGTGGACATTGGTATAAATCAATCTTGTCACCTTTCAGAATTGGAGCTACACTCGGTGAACAATCCTTCAAGCGAAATCTCTCTAAAACTTTATTAATATATGCCTTTTGAGATAAACCCAAAGTTCTTTGATTTCCATCTCTATGGATCTTTATGCGGATAACATAAGATGCCTCGCCCATATCTTTCATATTAAAATTTTGAGAAAGAAATTGTTTTACTACATGTAACAATTTCGTATCATTAACTGCAAGCAAAATGTCATCTACATAAAGGACTAAACAAATGATATTGCTCCCACTAACCTTGTGGTATATGCATTGATCATCAATGTTTTCGACAAAACCATATGAAGAAATAACATTGTGAAATTTTAAATACCATTGTCGCGAAGCTTGTTTTAGTCCATAGATAGACTTCTTTAACTAAATGACATCGTTTGAGATAAACCCTTCCGATTGTTTCATATAAACTTCTTCCTCTAAATCTCCATGGAGAAAAGCCGTTTTCACATCCATTTGATATATTTCCAAATCTAGATATGCAACCAATGCCATGATGATGCAGAATGAATCTTTTCAAGAAACATGAGAGAAAGTCTCCCGATAATTGGTTCCTTCCCTTTGGGTAAACCCTTTGGCAACAAGCCTCAATTTGTATTGTTTAATATTGCCTGATGAATCTTTCTTGGTTTTAAAAACCCATTTACAACCAATAGGCTTCGTCCCATCAGACAATTCTACAAGATCCCAAACTTGATTATTCGCCATTGAGTTCATCTTATCTTTCATCGCTTCTTGTCATAACTGAGAATTAATACTATTTATTGGTTATGGAATTGTTTCAGGGTCATTCTCAATTATAATATCTTGGTCAGACTCTAAATGATATACCACATAATCACTAGGAATTGCATGTTTCTTTATTCTAGTAGATCTTCTCAAAATTGTACCACTTACTTCTTGTGAAGTTTGTTGTACAGTAGGATCTATTTGAATATTATCATCATTATTATGTGGAATAATAGGAATAGGTTGTACAGTGGTTCCATTCTGAACAACCATTCTCTTACGTGGAGTTGTATCACAAAAATGATGATCATCACAAGTTAGATTATGAAAATTATCACTCCCACTTTCCACATCATACTCTAGAAACTTTGCATTTCTAGATTCCTCAATTCTTGTGGTATGGGAAGGACAGTAAAACTTATATCCCTTGGAAGTTTCAGCATATCCAATAAATTATGCACTAATAGTTCTAGGGTCCAACTTCTTCTCATGTGGATTATTAAACCGAACCTCAGCTGGACAACCCCATACTCGTGTATGATTTAAACTTGGTTTCCAACCTTTCCATAACTCAAATGGCGTTTTACTAACTTCCTTAGTTGGAACTTGATTTAAAATATACACAGTCGTTTTAAGGGCTTCATGCCATAGATATTTAGGATGTTTGGAATTGTTGAGCATACTTCTCACCATATCCATCAAAGTCCCATTTCTTCTTTCGGCCACACCGTTTTGATCCGGTACGGTGAACCAGGCATAGTATATTGTGCTACAATTCCATGCTCTTGAAGAAATTTTTCAAATGGACCAGGTGCTTGTCCACTTCCCCTATATCTTCCATAATATTCCTCACCTCTATCTGATCTTACGATTTTGATTTGTTTTCCACATTATTTCTCTACTTCTGCTTTATAAATTTTAAAAACATCTAAAGCTTCATATTTGTTATGAAGCATGTAGAGATACATAAATCGCGTATAATCGTCAATAAGTGAGGAAATATCTTTGACCAGTTGAGTACATGTCAGGGCAACAAATATCAGTATGTATTATTTCTAATACACCAGAACTCCTCCTAACACCCTTTTTGAACTTGTAGTGTGTTTGCCTTTTATGCAATCTACACAAGTACCCAAATCAGTAAAATCAAGAGATTCAAGAACTCCCTCATTTGCATAATTCTTTATTCTCCCAATGGAGATATGTCCTAATCTTCGATGCCATAACATCAAGGATTTTTCATTATTGACACTACGCTTAATACCAACATTACCATGGGTAGCCATTGAAACAAATGGAACATTATTCCTATTGCTTAAATGAATTTTAAATAAATCACCTTCCTGAGTACCATTACCAACAATATTTGAGTTTTTCAAAATATTAATAATATTATCATAAAAATTGATATGAAATCCTTGCAATACAAGTTTTGAAACTGAAATTAAATTCTTAGAAAAATCTGGAATATAACATGTCTTTTCCAAATCTAAAAAAAACAAGTATATAAAATATGCCTATAAGTTTCAGTAGCAGCAACATGTGAACTCATCCGATTGCCCATATAGATTTTTAGTTCACTCCCCATCGGCTTTCTTTGGTTTAAGAAACCCTGCATGGTATTAGCAATGTGAATTGTAGAAGCAGAATCAATCCACCAAGTGTCGCGTGAAATTTCAATTAAATTAGATTCAAAACATACTAGGCGAATGATTACCTATCTTCTCAAGCCAAGCCTTCGTTTCGGGCAATCCTTTCTCATGTGTCCATTCTTTTTACAGAAAAAACAACGGGCTCCTTCCTTATCTTCAAAACGAATAGGTGTGATACTTTTTCCCTTCTTCTTATTGGCTCGCTTTTTGTCCTTGTCGTTTGTCACCAAACATGCACTTTCACCGTATTCTTGAATCAATCTCCCTTCTTTCTGGGCACACATGGCCAGTAATTCGTGAATCGACCATTTATCCTTATGTGTGTTGTAGGAAATTTTAAAAGGTTCATATTGGGATGGAAGTGAGTTTAGGGTAAGATGCACAAAAAATGACTCGGATATCCCAATCTCCAATGACTTCAGTTGAGCAGCTATGTCCCTCATTTGCATTAAGTGCTCACGCACACCTTTGAAGCTGGTAAGTTTCATCGATGATAACTATCTCATTAAGGTACTTGCAAGTGATTTATCCGACGACTCAAATTGTTCATCAATAGCATGCATGTAATCCTTGACATTTGGAGACTTGATAAACATCATACTCAAACGGTTGGATCGCTCCCACCGTTCATACAACGTTGTCTCAGCTTTAGTGTTGGTATTTGTGAGCATAGGTGGTTCTTCCTTTCGAAGAGCATAGTCAAGGTCAATGCATCCCAAATGAAGAAGAACTTTCTCCTTCCAAATCTTGTAGTTGTCACCACTCAAAGAGGGAATTTCAGATGCATTATCGGATTTTACTAGTGCTGCAAATAAATAAAATTAATATCATGCTTACAATTTAAAATAAAATAAGTCTCATCTTTCCATCCTTGTGTGATATGCTTTCACATGCAAGTTATATCCAATAATAACATGAATTAGCGTATCATTAAAATCTACATGTGGGCAAAGACCTTAACACTCAATTATTCCATACTTTGTCTGTTACAGTGGAACTATGAAAAATATTAATATTTCTAAATACCTGTGGGTTAATTGAGAAATAAACTGATTTTCTATTGCACCTTAATCATAAATATTAACACTAACCTCTCCCGCGGGATAAAGTTAGTACAACAATAATTTGATATATGATATGTGACCCAATTACATTAAATGCAATTGGATAATTAAGATGTTGTGGCTAGTCTTTAATTATTTAAACATAATGCATCACATGATATCATACTTGTACAAGAGATAATATAAAATACATATTACACACAACAGATAGAGAAATCTATTACATGTATAGCTAGATCATAACATTGTATCAAATAGAATTTCAAAGCATCCATCGTAATTAATTAAAAAAATTATTTCGAAAGAGAGAAAATGAGAATAATAGATTCCAACTAATTGAAAGTTTGGATAATAATTCTATGGTTTTATATATATATTAGGGAAATACTGTTTTTTCTAAAATAATTTTCTGATTAATTTTGGAAATCAAAATCACCTTACGGTTAGGCAGAAGATATTGTTCTGCTCTAATACCACATGTAAGTTATTTATACATAAAACGCGGAAGCTGTCATAATTACGATTCAGTTACATACCTCCAACCATAGCCAACGTCTGAATAAAAACTCAAGAACTTTATTGTGGGTACTTCTGATCTAAAACAATTTGCAGTGATAGAAATGGGTTTGCATAAATTGCATAGATTAGGGACCCTAACTAAATGGAAACAACTCTACGATAGAGCCACAACTCTTTAATTAACATTTCAATAAAGTTACAATCCTTCAAAATAACTCTAGAGACCAATCGTTATAGCTCTTCAATTGCCACAATAAAATTGCCAATCGAATTATAAATAATGTATCCATTAAATAACTTAATATGATAATATTATATACGTAATATATATAGACCATAATATTCTTACAAAATATAGTATCAGACTATTGTTAATACATTAACATTCGAATAAAAGAATATATTTACTTTATTAGTTAGTTTTATAAGTCTTGTAATTTGTTATTAGATCAAAGAAAAGAAAATTGAAATATAAACACAAAATACAAATAAAAAAGTGAAATATGGTCAGTACTCAGTGGACAACCAAACGAGTTTCCCTTGGGGTTTTTCGTCTTCTCTCTTCAACTTCAAATGTTTCTCTTTGTATTTCACTTTCAATTCTTCAAATAACACAATCAATATAAATTACAAATTATAAAAGGCATATTGTTATTCTAACAAAATGGTAGAGTGCGTTAGTAATTTTTTAAAACAAAAGTTCAAAAACAGCCTAAGGAGGTGGTTTGTACGACGGCTGAGGTTTGTGCAAACACGATGGTGGTTCCTATTCAACACTTCAAAGTTAAAAGGATATGTAATATTTAAAAGAATCTTCCTATTTCGTTTTTCTAGAATAGGTGAATGTTTTTTGACCCAAAATTTAATTGTTTTTGTCTCTACTTGCATAGAATAGGTGTGTATCAACAAATTCTTATCTGCGATCTAAACAAACAAGAAAAACTTGCACAAAGATAATTTATGAATTAAAAATAAATATTGCGGGTTACAAACTCTAATTTAATCCTCTGATTCTTCTTTCTAGAACAATATATGTTTGACATTGAATTTCGGGGTCGGGTCGTTGACTTGATCTTCTCCGGATTTGATGTTGAACTTGAATAACGTTTTCCGATGGTATTGTGATACGCGTTTTCCTCACGTATAAATTACCGCAAGTATACAGTATCGCATTTTGCAGAACAGTGGTTCCGAATATCGATCCACGGGGACCTTGTAGATTCACATGCTGAGTAATGTAATTATATTAACGTTATATTATCTAGCCGATCGTAAATTAAATAATTGAAATGGTGATAAACCCTAATTTAAAAACATAAAAGATCGTAAACATGCAAATATAAAATGTACGTAAATAAAATAGCAACAACTCAACACGGGAGGGCTTCTATTTAAAAGGGACTTCTATGGCAAAATCCACCTATGTATAATCAATAACGATCTACAAATTCATTATCTAAGGTCACATTCCTATTCGTTAACCCAGACGCTAAAGTACTCTAACCCCCGTCTCCAGTGTAGTTAGAGTCTACCCACAGGTCCGACGTCTCCGCTCAGAACCTGCTATTAAGAGAGCATTTAGATCAAGTTTCCGTTTCCACACCCCGAGCTATGTTTTCCTAACTTCAAACAAGAAATCCTGTCTCGAGTTCCTTCCTATTTAATATTAATGCGAGAGCTGATCAAACAATCAGAAGCATTTAATACAGGAAAACATAAACGAAATCAAAACACGACAAATAGATAACATAAATGACAATCGGAATCCATATATACAAGGTTTCATTACCCTAGAAGAAATTGTTCTTAGTTCATCACAAACATAGTGTCAAAAGAATGTACACAAGAAATGAAGAACAAAACGTAAAGAAATTGCGTAAGAAAAACCCAAGTCGAAACTCCCGTTGAGGATTCCCGCGAAGAACTGTCGAAAACCGTAAAAAGTCGAAGAAGTAGTAGAAGAGTGAGGGCTTGCGTCTATTTATAGTAAGGCAAAGCTTCTTCAAGAAGCTTTGCCTTTTTAGATATTTTTTACACATCCCGAGGCCATATCGCGATATGGGTGACAGTATCGCGCGATATGGCAAAAATGCAAGCTCTATATTTCTTTTCACCCCATATCGCAATACAGGATGGCATAGCGCACGATATGGCGAAAATGCAAGCTCTCTGTTTCATTTCTCACCATATCGCGATACAGGATGTCATATCGCGCGATATGGCAAAACTGCAAGCTGTCTGTTTCTTTTCTCCCCATATCGTGATATAGGGTGGCATATCGCGCGATATGGCAAAAATGCAAGCTCTCTGTTTCGTATCTCCCCATATCGCGATACATGATGCTAATATCGCGATATGGTGACTGTCTGAACTTGAAACTCTGTGTTGACTCCCTTTTTTAACCCGAATTTGACAATTTTTCATTTCACAAAAATTGTATTCCTTGAAGTTGACTTTCCAAATCCACTTGAATCACCTGAATCGGAGGTCCTATGAAGAAGTTATGCGTAAAATACCGAACGTTGTCACCATCCACTTGATTGCAATTTTTGCTCTTGTTTGACTTGATTCTCGGCTTCGCTTTCAAAATCGTTTCGAATCGGCAAAAATAGCTAACAAAACCTAAAAATAGAAATAAAACAAGAAATATATACAAATAACGCAGAAACTCGGACGAACGAAGACCAAAATTCGAAGATTCGATAAGGAAAAATCGTGCAAAACGAACACTAATCATCTTGCGACTTGAATCTCGGATCCAACGCTGAACTTTGACGAGTTTTTACTTGGTTTGACTTGAAGATCTTGGAGTTCTTCAAGCTTTGACTTGAAGATCTTGGAGTTCTTGATATATTTGGCCCTTCAATCTCCCTTCAATTTCGATTTGGTGAAGAACACCCTTAATTTGATGAAGAATGCTTGAGAAGTTGTAGAGAGAACTTTCTCCTACGATTTTTCTCCTTCTTGAGTTGTGTTTGAATTGTGAAGGGAGGGTTCCTATTTATAGTGGTTATACAAGAGTCATTGACGAGCCTTTTTGATGACATGGCGCGATTTGATTGGCCCTATTTTAATTTGTATTTATCTCTTATAACTTGGATGAAAAGAAATAATCCTATTGGTCAAAGATTAATTGATATTTATCTCCATGACTTATTTTGCAAGACAAATTATAATCTTGTATTAAACTTATGCGTCGACAGATCTCCCCTCAAGACTTGTTGACGGACAACGCGTCTTGGAGTGAATGAGTCTCGATAATAGCTCAACTTCAATTGTAACTTGATCTCACAAAGCACATAGATCTTTTGAAATTATGACTGAACTTAGAGAAATCCTACGTTGCCTACGTACCCTATAAGGGATCAAGTCATAACGTAGTTCAAAATATATCATTCTGAGGGATGCCGTGCACAGTTTATACTCATGTGGACAAGGAAAAACATTTGCAGTTTAAGCTCGTGCTGAAGGAGCCTTTTACTTGATGTTGTAGATAGTTTATGCTCGTTTCAAGGAGCCTTGGTTTGGACTTGGACATATAGATAGTTTATGCTCGTATTAAGGAGCCTTGATTTGATTTGGATATATAGATAGTTTATGCTCGTATCGAGGAGCCTTGACTTGATTTGGATTTGGACATATGATAGTTTATGCTCGTATCGAGAAGCCTTGAATTGATTTGGATATATAGATAGTTTATGCTCGTATCGAGGAGCCTTGACTTGATTTGGATTTGGACATGTGATAGTTTATGCTCGTATCGATGAGTAATTTATTGGACATCTAGACCTTTTAAACTCGTGTCAAGGAGTACATCATTCGATTTGGACATGTAGACCTTTAAACTCGTGTTAAGGAGTACTTCATTGGACATGTAGATCTTTTAAGCTCGTGTCAAGGAGTACTTCATTCGATTTGGACATGTAGACCTTTTAAACTCGTGTCAAGGTCTACTCCATTAGACATGTAGACCTTTTAAGCTCGTGTCAAGGAGCGCTGATTTGCTTTGAACTTGATATGTACTTCTAGACCTTTTAAACTCATGTCAATGAGTGCTTCATTTCAAATGGACATGCAGACCTTTTAAACTCGTGTCAAGAAGTACTTCATTTGGACATGTAGACCTTTTTAAACTCGTGCCAAGGAGTACATCACTTGATTTGATTTGACTTGTCATATTGCGTAGGATGTTGCTTCTCCCAAACACTTGCCCCCATCCTCATGATCTTCTTTTTCTTCTTCAACATGTTTTTCTTTGAACTGGTACTACTTTTGGAATGATGGTTCTTCAACTCCATTTGCAATTATGCTCATCTCCATATCATTTGCTCGAGTGGCCAACTCTTCAAAACTTTTAGGTTGAATTCCTTGAAGGATATATCGAAGTCCCCATTGCATTCCTTGGATGCACAATTCAATAGCTGATGTCTCAGGCTGCCGATCCTTGCAATTAAGACTCAAATTTCTCCAACGGTTGATGTAGTCGATGACAGGTTCCTTCTTCCACTGGCAGGAATTGGTGAGCTCAATCATGCTGATTGTTCTTCGAGTGTTGTAAAAGCGGTTGATATTTATCTCCATGACTTATTTTGCAAGAAAAATTATCTTGTAATTCAATTTAATATAATATAAATTATATTAAATTTATGTGTCTACAAGGTGAATGTATAATAATGTGGATGCACATTTAAATAGTGAAGAGCACGCTGATGTAGGTATTACATCAGATGCTGCCGTGGAGAATCGAACGCAATCAAATCACATTAACAAGTGGCACAAAAAAAAAACCACCTACTTGGACAAATTTTAAAGAGTATAAGGATGATAGTGGTGTCACCAAGGTGCGTTGCAACCATAGTAAAAAGCTATTTTCAAAGAACAAGACTACTTCAACAACTCAATTCCATAGGCACTTGCAATCATGTCATGTTTTTCAAAAAGAAAAATTTGCCCGGGATAAGGGGAAATTTTCACAAACGCAAATTAATTTTCTTCCAACAAATGTAGAGCTATCTTCTTTTCCAACA